AAAAAAAAAAATCTCCAAGATTTGGCGGGAGCAGAGACCAGTCCTTGAAAAATCCGAGAAAGTTGGAGAGAAAGTGAGGGAAAATACTCAGCGGAGTATGGGAAAGGACGAGGAGGAGATGAGGGGAGAGATAGAGGAGAGACTGATCAACGAGGAGTACAAGATATGGAAGAAAAACACGCCGTTTCTGTACGATCTGGTCATAACGCACGCCCTAGAATGGCCTTCCCTCACCGTCGAATGGCTTCCGGACAGGGAAGAACCTCCGGGGAAGGATTATTCCGTCCAGAAGATGATTCTCGGCACTCATACTTCCGAGAACGAGCCCAATTATCTCATGCTCGCTCAGGTCCAGCTTCCGCTTGAGGACGCCGAGAATGACGCCAGGAATTACGATGACGATCGCGCCGATGTCGGTGGATTCGGCTGTGCGAATGGCAAGGTATGCTTTTTCACTCTGTTTGGTTCCTGAGAAAGAGCGGGAAAACGTTAACCGGCTCGGAATTTTTCGTTTAAAGCGTAATTTTTTTTTGGTTGGGGGAAAAAGTAAGAAAATTGCATTGAGGGTTTGGAATAAAAATAGGAAATTTATGAGAAATGTTAGGACCTCAAGCTTCGGCAACAATGGAGGCTTAGTTATCTGCAATAATTATTGTAATCTTCGTAATTTTATTTTATTTTATCCGAGTTATTTTCTTCTTCCCTTGGATCGATAAATGATTGTGGGTATTTCTTTAACTTCTACGTATGATGAGAATAATACTTTTAATTAATTTAACTCGGTAGATTTACGAACTACCTTTTACAAAAACTCTCTCTTGCACTTGTCTTGTTTGGCATCGATCTTGTTTTCGGTTTTTTTGTTTTGTTTTGTTTTTCTTTTGTTTTTTCCGTTTGAAGAAATGGTGGAGCTTCTCTGACAATATCTTTAAAAAATAATTGTCATTCTCATTTTTTGTTTGTAAAATGAAAAAAAGATGAAAATGTTATTGAACATGTTTATGATCTCTCTTTACGGATATGTGTTAATGTATTTTGAAACTTTCTTGGACAGGTTCAAATAATCCAGCAGATAAATCACGATGGAGAGGTTAATCGAGCCCGCTACATGCCTCAAAATCCGTTTATTATCGCGACAAAGACAGTTAGCGCTGAAGTTTATGTCTTTGATTATAGCAAACATCCATCCAAGCCTCCATTAGATGGTGCCTGCAGTCCTGATTTGAGGCTGAGGGGGCACAGTACCGAAGGATATGGGTTATCTTGGAGTAAATTTAAGCAGGGTCATTTACTGAGTGGTTCTGATGATGCTCAGATATGCTTGTGGGATATTAATGCTACTCCTAAAAACAAAACCCTTGAAGCTATGCAGACTTTTAAGGTCCTTCTTTATGTCTATTTAGACATTTTTGTTCTTGTGATATTGCTAATTGTGCTTTTTTTACACCCACATTTTATCTGAAACTGATCTGGGGCAGGGCACAAATTGCGTTGGGTGAATTAGTGAATTGTTTGTCAAATTGGTCTTAAATCAGCCAGCTTTGAGAATGAGAGGAGTTATTTTTCTCACACCTAACATATTTTGCGTGCTAAATGTTTCTTTAGAACACTATTGATACAATCTGCTGTAAAAAGGAAACTTATTTTGGAGGACATAGCTTCTAAAGCGTGTAAAACTTTAGATTTTAAATTGTGTGTGATTCCTTTATGTGCATTTACTGCTAATGTACAATGCAGTTTCCTATACTTACCTTCGTTTTGAATAAACGCTGAAATAGGTTCATGAAGGTGTTGTGGAAGATGTTGCCTGGCATTTGAGACATGAATACTTATTTGGTTCGGTTGGTGATGATCAATACCTTCTTATATGGGATCTTCGGACTCCATCTGTTACCAAGCCTGTTCAATCTGTTGTAGCTCATCAAAGTGAGGTGAGTCTGGCAGTCTGCTCAATACTGTGGACAAAATGATGTCTCGGTATTCCACTATCTATTACATGAAATGTTTAGCTAGTGTCATCATGTTCTTAAGTGGTTACAAGTAAGGCCTCCTGATTTAAGTGATGACTGAGACATTTCTTAGTGACGTGTCACCTTTTAGTTGGTTGTGTAAAATCTGATCTAATGTTTCATGGAGAGGGGAGGGAGGGCTTCTATTGTTAGCTCTTTTTTTTT